CCCCGACCAGGACCCTAACCCCGACCAGGACCCCGGGGGAGAGCGGCGCCCAGCGGGCGGCTCGCCGCTACTGCTGGAGGTCGATGCAGGGCCTCTGCCGATTCTTCATCGGGATGTTCAGGAATTAAGCAATTAAGAGGTGAGCAGAAAATGCTTCTTTAGACCAGAAGGTCTTCAAGGTCCAAGGACCCAGAGACCCCCTAAGATTAATCCAGTTCAGCATGTGAGATAAGCAGAAAAATAGTCTCTGAAAACTATGAGATCGGCTTTATTTCAGTTCACTGTTTGAGGTCCACTATTTGGTGAGCCTGAAAAACTTGCAATATTATTTAAATCAGGGGTCTTCAAGGTTTTCCAGGCCAAGGACCCCCAAACTGATGGACCAGGGACCCCCTAATTTTATGTATTGTCTGAAATTGTGTTCTATCAAACTGGTCCTCTAGTGTGTAAATGTACCTTGTTGTTGGGCATTCAGTACTAAGATCCTCAGATAATCCACAGGTTGATATATTCCTGTTTTTATTGTAAACATCTGGTTCTGGTTCCTGGTTGGTGGGACAGGTGTTGTGAATGAAACCACACCGTGAAACCTTTGAGACATAGATAAATGTTTTTCAGACGCCCTGTTGTGCCAAAATAGTTGGAAAAAGCATCTTAAAACAGCTTTAAATATGAAATAATGTCTTGACCCCTGCATTTAACACTTAACTGTGTCAAATAATGAAAACAATATATATTTTTTAAATATAGAGACCAACATGAAGTTGTGTGTATATATATATTTATAGATAGATAGATCATGTTCATGTGGATTTAAAGACATTTACATTAGTGGAAAAAATTGCAGGGGGGGAATATAAAAAAACAAAAAGTCTAATCAACTTTGGTCCCTGTTGAAGACCTCGGATTTAGAGCCAATCAGAGAAAGTCGTGGACAGTTTACAGTCAGCGCTCTGAAGCTCTTCTGTGACAGATCTAAGAACATTTCAGATCTACGTGCTCTTTTTCCTCTGTTGTATTCACAGATTTCACTTGACATCTGTTCAAAGAAGCCAGCAGAAGGATGACATCTCCATTTTTTTGGGGGGGACAGAACATTAGCGCCCTCCTCGGGGGGTGTAGAGGTACTGCAGAGGCTGTGAAAGAAACACCTCTCCCCTTGGACTTAAAGGCCTTTATTCCACTGAAAGCACCAGAGGAACTAATTTTCTACCATCTTTAATCTTTGCATGAACCGTCTGTGACAACATATTATCAACATTTGTTAACTTGAATATAATCTTTTTTAATTAATACGTCGATTCTTGTATTAATATCTATGAAAGGGGTCATATTTGTATATTTGTCAGGACGATGAGTTGAATGTTTTGTTTTTTTAATCTTCTAATTTCATAAATAAATATTATTTTGAAATTATCTTTGCTGGTTACTTTCATTTTAATTCTATTTACCTCACATGTTTAAAAATGGGCAAGGAGTTCTCCTACCTGCCATCTTCATGGTATCCAGCCATTATCGCCTGACAGTTATGAGCCAGAATTCAGACATCCGGGACCTGGTTACCGGAAGTGAATGTTTTTCCGTTCCGGATTGTGTTGCCGTGGCAACACGTTTATTGTTGAAGTGAGCCCGACATTTATTTATTTTCAAAAGACAACTGCATTATTTAAGTCACCTCCTTAATATTAAGGTCTGCTTCTGTCATTTTGTTAAAGGATAAAATAGAATAGAAAAAAATCTTAATTTATTAAAAATTCTTTTTCTAGCAGGGAAAGCAAAATATGTGTAAACAAAGTAAGTAACAAAATAAAACATTTCCACATCAGGGAAATAAAAGTGGCCCAAACACTGCAACCCTTGTTCTTTTAACTGGCTTGATGATGTGTTTTCCTGTGATGACCTCTTGTGGAACAAAGAGTCGGTACAGAAAAGAGAGTTGAGGAGCTTCGAAGTATTTTTACTCATTTTAGATATTCATTTTACGCCAACCGTCACTTCTGTTTATTTGAGTACCTTGTTTAAATTCTGATTTAATGGAATTTTATGATTTGCTCAACATTTCATTTCACATTGGATGCAGCGACAATCTAGTTTCTTCTGTAACTTTTAAAAACTCCCTTTGTTGGTTTCTGGTTCAGTCCGTCCGTGTGGTTCTGTTCCCCTCTGAAATGCTGTCTGTGCACAGACATCTGCACTGTACCTCCACATTTATTCCCCTCATCAGGCCTTCCCTTCTCCTGCCACTAGTCCTACATCAGACATTCCTTACCTGAACCACTTCTTTGCAGAGTTTGAAGATGGTTTACCAAGAGTTGACTAAAACTAAACAGCTCAACCCCAACGTGGGATGATATGGAACAAGGCAAGACGTACAGATACATTTCAGTTAAAAAAATGAACAATCAGAGACCACTTTGCTTACACACAGCTTTCCCAATCTCCATTTCTTACAAACAAATTGAGATTGGGAAGACTTATGAAAGGAACCGACCATCTTACATTTCTGCTTTAACAGTGTCCCAAGCCAAAAAGCTTCATCTCACTGTCTCCCAAACTCTTATACTCAGTATTTCAATTCTAATGAGTGTTTCTTGACCCTCGGCCTCAGGGCCCACAGTCCTGCAAGTTTTCCAGCTCAGAAAAGCTCTCTCTGCTCCCTCTGTCCTTCTCTCGCCCTCCCTCTCTCTCTCTCTCTCTCTCTCTCTC